GACACACCTTTGCATGCTCATACATACTCACCCGAACATTTACACTCGTGAAGGCTCTCTATGCTTCAGCATGTGATATTTTATACAACTCCTGCAGTTGGATTCATAATCACAGTCAGAACGCCTTTATGTTTCAGCTGATGCTGTTTGACAGAATTTTCATATTTACATTCATAATTACAGTTGCCATACTACGTTTGAACCCGAGAAGGATCTTTATGTTTCAGTTGGTGTCGTTTTATATCACTCTTATATTTAGTTTTGTAACCGCAGTTGTTACACTTGTACATTTGAACCTGAGAAGGATCTTTATGCTTCAGTTGATGATGTTTGATAGCACCCTTATATTTAGTTTTGTAATCACAGTCATTACACCTGTACGTTTCAACCTGCGAAAGATCTTTGTGTTTCAGTTGGTGATTTTTCATATGATGCTTGTATTTAGTTTCATAACCGCAGTCTTTACATCTGTACATTTGAACCTGCGAAGGAACTTTATGTTTCAGTTGGTGTATTTTCATATAACGCTTGTATATAGTTTTGTAATCACAGTCATTACAGCTGTAGGTTTGAACCTGCGAAAGATCTTTGTGTTTCAGTTGGTGTTTTTTCATATAACCCATGTACTTAGTTTCGAAATCACAGTCCTCACACCTGTACATTTGAACCCGATAAGGATCTTTATGTTTCAGTTGGTGTCGTTTTATATCACTCTTGTATTTAGTTTCGTAATCGCAGTTGTTACACTTGTACATTTGAACCTGTGAAGGGTCTTTATGTTTGAGTTGGTGCTTTTTGATATACATTTTGTATATAGTTTTGTAATCACAGTCATTACACCTGTACGTTTGAACCTGAGAAGGATCTTTATGTTTCAGTTGGTGTGATTTGATATGACTCTTGTATTTAGTTTCGTAATCGCAGTCATTACACCCGTACATTTTGACCTGCGAAGGATCTTTATATATCAACTGATGTCTGGTAAAGTCTCTCTTATTCTTTGATTGGTATGTGCAACCATCGCATTTATAAATGTGCAGTTGCAAAGTGTCCTTATTCGGTAACGCGGTGTTTTTGATTTTATAATCACATTCTACACGATTGTTTGAGTTTTTGTGTTTTATATAATGACTATTAAAACTGACTTTCCTCTTTGTTTTGAAATCGCAAAAGTGATTGTACAATCGTCCTTCAGATGCGCTTTTGTGTTTCACCTGACTCTTAGCAAGCTCACACCTGTGCCTTGTCTTGTAACCATATGATCCGCATCGGTGCATACGCGTTTTCGAAGGATCTTTATGCCTCAGCTGGTGCTTCTGAAAAAATTTTTTATTTTCAGTTTCACATTTATATGCTTCCGAATCGTTCTCGTGTCTCGCACGGTGCGCTATAAAACGGCTCTCGCTTCCAGTTTCGTAAATACATTTATCACATTTGAAAAATACTTTGTCATCCTGCTTGTCTTTCATATTACATTGGTTTGTCGATCTATTCTCATGTTTACATTTATCCTCTTCTGCATCTCTAAGGACACTCTTCTCGAATGATTCACTATCGGAGCTCTGCAGTAGCGAGTCGCTGAAAAAATTACATATACAGAGTATTTTCCAATGTTAGGTGTTAATTCTAAGGGGTTATAGGTTATTACAAATGTAGTTATATGTTTTTAAACTCCACAGGGCATTATTTCAATTTTATTATCATACAAACCAAATTTTTTATTACAATTAGGTCATATTTTTCTTGAACATATGTTAAAATTAATTAAGATCTAGAGTTATACGGTTACCTTTTAAATTACTGTTAAAATAGTCTTCTCTTACCTCCTTTCTTCATCTTCCGATTTTATGTCAATACTTTCAGCTTTGATTGACATTTCCATCTCGTTGATATCGAATTCTTTGTCCTCGTTTTCAGTCTTAACGAATAAATCGGATGGTGACGTATCTATCTGGCTTTCAGTTGCTGCGTTATTAAAAATACCTTTAATTTTTTCCTGTACTTCCCAGCAATTTTTTAGGAAACTGTTGTGGGTGCACACAGAATCAAAGCATTCCTTACATACCACGGGATCTTTGATGATGTTTATATTCTGCAAAGCAGTTTCATTAAATTGCGAAACATTTAACTATTTAATATCATTGATACCATTTCAGGAGCCAATTTCTCGATAGCTTCAAGTTCCTCTTCACGTACGCACCTAAATTCACTCTCTACTGGCTCCATACACAATCGACATATTTTCTGACTATCTGAAATGTCCATTGACTCGCTGGTCTTTTCCTTCGTATACACATCCCTTATATCGAGCTGTAACATTTTTTCACAATTCACATATGGAATAATTGTGTAATCGGTCTTCAGACAAGTTGCCTTAAATTCGAATGCTGCGTTTAACTTTCTTCTGCAGACGTTACATATAACCTCTTTGCCCTCGCTATCAAATTTCTGAAATATATGCAACTTTAACCAAAGAGAAGGAAAATCACTTTGGCAGAAAATATCAATTACTGTTAGGTCGATCTAATGCGTTGAGGTGAGGGAAATGAGATGTATATACATGTTAGATGCTAATTATTAAAGAGGGATGTCATCCACTGCGTCGTTATTACCGAGTGAGCCAGAACCCTTTTGGGATGTGCGAGCAGTCGAGGTCAGCCGATGGAGCGCGGTCCGCGGGGTCAGCGAGTGAAGTCAGTCAATCACGAGAGTCACCAGACTCCCGACATAGCTAATAAACCAGCGACAACTCTGTCGTTTGAGGGAATAAACCGATTGTTGAAATTATGTGTTTTAATCGGGGGTGAAAACCCTCGGGTCTTTAACATACATTAGGGAGCTTTGTTTGAAACGTACATTTCTTTTTTTTGCTCCATTGAGGAAATATTGTTCTACAAATTGGAAATAAAATTTTACTAAATTTCAGTTCTTAATTTTGATTTTTAGTACTCGCTATTTAATTTTAAAATTTTCCTATTCATATAACACGAAACGAAGTTGTTTTTTCTTTAATTTTTCTGTATATTATTCCATATTTCAATTCTTGTCGAAATTCTAAATAAAATTCATACATCACCATATCCTATGATCACTAAAACTCCAATATGCTCTGTTTCATTTAAACGTGCCAATTTGCGAGAAAATTATTCACACAAAATGTATTTTTGACATGTGTTCTCAAGATAGATACTCACTATTAGACAAAAGAACGACGCAGAGTTGTTATGGAGTTAAAAACTTTCAAATGTAACTTGATGGACTATAAACTTAACGGACTAAAATATTTTTCTACAATTTATAAAAAATAGATTTTCAAAGTTCGATATCTCGAAAACGGCTAAGTTTAGGCGCATGATGTGATATATGAATTTTGTTTAGAATTTCGAGAAGAATTGAAATATGGAATAATATACAGAGTGTTCCAATAAAGAAAAAGCAACTTTGTTATATCATAACTTTTCGACTGATCCTGTATACTTAAATATTCTTTTTTGTAATAGCTTTAAAAAACCCTAAAACGCTTGTGTCCTATGATTTTTCGACAGCTATCTTACTTTAGGAGATAATCGACCGTTTCCATAGGTACATATCAGCGACCCTGAACTATGTAATACATAACCATCACTGACTTACCAATTTCAGCAAAAGAACATCTAAAATATCTCTAGTAACGTTGTCTATTACCTCAAAACCATTTACGGTTACAGTTTTGAGGCAAAGCTTGCACGAAGTTTCTTGAACGCCAGACATTACAACAATTTTCTTTGAAATGTAAATAACAAACCGTTACTTATGTTGGTTCTCTAACCTCAATGAAAAATGAAAGAGTTATTGTTCTTCTTCCTCTTCTGTTATCGGAACAACAAGAATTGTAAAGCCTTGTCTATAAGTCTTGCACAATGATTATTGATTACGGATTGGTGGAAAAAAAATTACGTAACAATTGTTCTTGTACACAGCACTAATCTGGTTCTTCAGAACATGACGCTGTTGGTTTACATATGGAAAACCTATATGAATTTTTGTTCTTGAATTCGCTTTGCATATAATTACGGCTGCATTGTCTGTATTAAGAGTAGTTTTTTTACTTGAAACAAAGTAAATATAATGTAATTTGCATTTGAAAATTTGTTTTATCAGCAGGTGACGTCATCAACGAGATGCGGATTTTCGATTTGAAGCAAATTGTATCCGTATTATATAATACATAATAAGCTCCATTTGTTTTACCACTTGGTTACTTCAGTTTGGTCAAATTGACCAAACTAGATGTGACCGTGATTTGAACAAACTCTAGGATAAACAAAACATACATCTACTCCATTCACAGAACTTATATACTAGAGGTCTGTTCCAACAAGAGTCGGGGATTGGTTCCAAACCGTCAGAAATGTGCATCCAACTAATTCTTGCGATATATTCACTGAAGACACATTTAGGACTTAGCTGGCCAAACATTTCGAACGGTTCGGAACCAATCCCTGACGCTTGTTGGAACAGACCTTAGGTCTATGACTCCATTTTAATTTTGACATTTAACGTTTGTTCAATTTTAGTTTAATTACAGGTTGTTGTTGTCAATCATACTTTGCCCAACATATAATCAACATATCTTCTTCGGATGAATCCATATCCATTATCAACGGCTTATTTTTGTTATTTAGATTTATGATTATTATTACTTGTAGGTTATGTTTTGTTCGGTTATCTTGTTCACTTACTAACCACGATATTAGTCTAGGTTAGATCGGAAAGGGGGGAACTGATTTTGGTTTGTTCACTTGTTTAAAAAAAAATGAACTTGGTCAGAAATGTACTGAAAATGAATTAACCAAAGTGACCAAGTGTGTAAAACAAATACAGCTATAAACAGAAGCTTAAGTTGGTCATGATACGTAAGACATAAAGACGTATAATTTTTACGTTAATTGTTAAAATCGATTTAAGTATGTAAAGTTGAGCCGAGACAAAGGCAGGACTGATTCTAGAAAAATGCCACATTTCGCTTCAGGTATTTATTGAAACAGAGGCAACTTAGGGGCGATTTTCTTGAAAGAGAGCTTCCACAGAACCATTAGTAGGGCATTTATGTGATTATAATACAATAAAAATACATAAAAGCTATACTTGGCACCATGTAGCCTTATCATGTGCTTATCCATTATTCCAAACATTATTACCAGCGGATTACATTTTATTTACGTGGCCACCACGTTCTCCTGACTTAAAAACTATCACCTATAAGTATATATTTTTATTGGGAAATAACATTGGCTTTTGTTGGGCGTGGACAAAATTTTGAAGGTTTACTGATTACATTTAACAATAATAGGTCTGTTCCAACAAGCGTCAGGGATTGGTTCCGAACCGTTCGAAATGTTTGGCCAGCTAAGTTCTAAATGTGTCTTCAGTGAATATATCGCAAGAATTAGTTGGATGCATATTTCTGACGGTTCGGAACCAATCCCTGACTCTTGTAGGAACAGACCTAATGTCTTCCTGTTTTTCCAAATAGATGGCGCCATCTATCAATAATTGTAGACACTACAATACATCACCGCCTCGTTGACTGAAATATTGCACAGAATATTTCAAAGACCGCCTCTAAATTTAAAGTATACTGTAATATTTATCAAGTATCATATATTAGTACTATTTTCACCCGAAGGATGGCGTCACAAAGAGTGACCACAATTATCGCCCGTTTTTTCACAATTTGGGGAGAACTATAGAAAATAGATAAAAATATGGTTTTGGTATCAAATTACTCGTAAAAAAATAAGATGAAGGTGAAATCATCCCCAAAAATAGGGAATATCAGAAATAATTGTAAAAATTCAAAAAAAACAAAAATGAAAATTCAGGACTAGGAAAACATGGATTAACTATTCATAGTAAGTTCCAAGAAAAAACTACACCTGAATCAGGGTTGAAGCCACCCTGTTCTCAAAAAAATACAACAAAATTCATTCTTATTTTAATTTCTCTATTGAATAAATCGCAGAAAAATTCATACATTTTAACGACTAAAATGGGCATATTGACTTCGAGAATCTACCCTCGAGAGCTTTAAGGGGTTGTAATCAGAAATAATTATAAAAATTCCAAAAAATTCTTCATTTTTGGCATTTTTTCAACCCCTAAGTAGGGGTGATTTTAAAAATTTTCAATATACTAAAAGCTGTGCTCATTTAAATTTTTTATGAGAAGTAATTCGCGACCAAAAACATATTTTTGTATTTTTTTAAATTCTCTGCGGATTGTGAAAAAACGGGCGAAAATCACAGGTTTTTTGCGGTCACTCTTTATTATTTTAAGTTGCTTCTTCAGGTAACTTTAGCCAACTGAAGTATCAAATCCTTATTCATTATTACTGTGGTTTTCATAGTGCTCTTATTACCATGGTTTACCGTTTACATCAGTCATACAAATGTTCGAAATTTCCCGTCCAGAATTAACTAAAGGATATTACTTTAATTGACAGCGAGACGGGACAAAATGCATTAGCAGCTTTTCATTTACCAGCAGGTTTTTCGGATAGAGTCTGCCCGGTAGACATATGCTAAATGCCACCGCCACGGTGGTTCAATGAGTGTGCTACGGATGTAGCCGAGGACAAAATTTTAAATATTGTAGGAGGAAAATATGTACAAGTGACAGGTAAGTCTTTCGGCAAACGCGTATTACATGAAGTTCAAATGTAGACCTGTCGTCATGTGCTCACAGCGTTCCAAACATTAGTACCAGCGGATTATCTTTTATTTGCGTGACCACCACGTTCGCCTGACTTACAAACTATCACCTATTTTTATCGGAAAATAACATTGGTTTTTGTCGGTCAAAACATGATTAAACGTGCCCAACCGTGTTTATGAGTTGTTGGATAAAATTTTGAACGTTTCTGATTACATTTAACAATATTAGAATTTAATCCATTTTTTTTTTTTTTTTTTTTAAAAGTAATGAATCATTACGTCTTCCTGTTTTGCCAAGTAGATAGCGCCATCTATCAATAATGGTAGACACTACCTTACATCAACGACTCCTTGACTGAAATTTTGTACAAAATATTTCAATCAACGACCGCCTATTAATTTAAAGTATACTGCAATATTTATTATGTATCATATATTAGTGTTATTTTTACCCGATGGCGCCATAAATTTAATTCTCGTCTTGATTTTAGCGTGCACTAAAGCACTCCCTGGGTTTCTATAATTTGGTTCAGTTCGGTTTGCAGATTTTTATGTAGGTACTGGAGAAGAACAAAAACTATGTAAAAACAAAAGGGTTCCTTTAAACACATTAATACAATGTAATCTAATGCATATGTACCGAAATTATATTTAATTAATTTAATCTTACATACATATAATATAATCATATAATAGTGCACAGTAAAAGCTAAACATTTAAACTTATATTTATGCCTTAAAATAATACTAACAAAATACAATAGGGAACATTGTTAGTACAATAACGTTTCTTTGCACTGGGAACCCTGCCCCCCCCCTACACAAATTACCAAAAATCAAATGAAAATTATAAATTACATAGGACGCAGGGTTAATTTTAAATGTGTACGTATAAAAATTAAAGAAGTCAAAAAAATAAATGTAACAAATAAACACCTATTTAAACATAGAAAATAAAGGTGGTTACTGCAAAATTCGTTTAGCCAATAGCCCCTCCAGCCAAAGCCCTCATAATTTTCTCATCCATATTTACACAACTCCTACTTATAAGGACAATACATTTTTAGGACAGGACAAATAATGAATATCAGGCTGGAAGGGTGAATTGGTTTTGTACAAATATAACTAACTCCCACTAACAGGTACATAATAATTTTCGAAGCACTGCTTTCTGGTTGACGGCAACGCTTGTCTCGAAAATCATGTGGACAATCGAATACTGTGTTTCTATGCTAGAAGTGAAAAACGGGGCAGATAATATTGCTAAAAATCACAGATGCATCAGAATTGCAAGAGAAACAGGCTTTGAACATTTTTATAAAGATATTTCAAGACTTCCGACATATTACCTAACTAAATCCATGCTTATTTATTTCTTCTTTTCATTAAAAATTAGAGTTTACGAATCTATACGACACCGGCAACATCGCCTAGTTGATCTCTCAACACGTAAATACCACACCGAAGTGAGTAGTCCTCAACAGTTTTCTATTAAGAAAAACAATGCATATTTATTTTAGTGTTTAGTATTATTACATATTTATTTTGTTGTTCCTAATTTTTTTTTTTGAACAAAAAACTATTAACTGCATGTTCTACATAATAAACCGTCTCCTCGTTTAGAATACACATGTATATACACATTTAAGATTAACTCTGAATATTGGTAATGAAAAATATATATTTTTAAACATAGAAAACCCAACACTACCCATTTTCAGAGTCATGCTATCAAAATTTTCTGAATTATTGAGAAATATCAGAATAAAATTTAAACTTTGAACACCCTGTATTTCTTAAACCAGCAACATTCGTATAATGCACGTTGAGCTCAAACATAATATTTTGGTATCTAGTATCTCCAGTTTACTGTTGACCCATTCTTTCTGACTCATCCTGTATATTTTTAAACATATAAAAGCCGATGTATTTTACAAAGTATTCATTTTAATACATTGTTACAAAAGCACTAGTCCGAAATCACTTGTCTCTTTCTGTTGCAGGGAGAGTTTCTGCTTGAACCGATGTTTTTCACGACAGGCTTTACATTCTACTTCATATTGACGTATCTATGGTCGGTTCCTTAAATAACTTCATTTTTGACTGGATTTTGCGTTTCAATGGGCCGTACTTCGCACCCACAAATGTTTTTGAGCAGCAACAGATATCTCCTTAGAGACTTCTTATGCTTGGTTCCAGAATCACATTGATGCATTTGAACCCGTGACACACCTTTGCATGCTCATACATACTCACCCGAACATTTACACTCGTGAAGGCTCTCTATGCTTCAGCATGTGATATTTTATACAACTCCTGCAGTTGGATTCATAATCACAGTCAGAACGCCTTTATGTTTCAGCTGATGCTGTTTGACAGAATTTTCATATTTACATTCATAATTACAGTTGCCATACTACGTTTGAACCCGAGAAGGATCTTTATGTTTCAGTTGGTGTCGTTTTATATCACTCTTATATTTAGTTTTGTAACCGCAGTTGTTACACTTGTACATTTGAACCTGAGAAGGATCTTTATGCTTCAGTTGATGATGTTTGATAGCACCCTTATATTTAGTTTTGTAATCACAGTCATTACACCTGTACGTTTCAACCTGCGAAAGATCTTTGTGTTTCAGTTGGTGATTTTTCATATGATGCTTGTATTTAGTTTCATAACCGCAGTCTTTACATCTGTACATTTGAACCTGCGAAGGAACTTTGTGTTTCAGTTGGTGACTTTTCACATTACTTTTGTATTTAGTTTCGTAATCGCAGTCGTTACACCTGTACATTTGAATCCGAGAAGGATCTTTATGTATCAGTTGGTGATTTTTCAAATGACCCTTGTATTTAGTTTCGTAATCACAGTCCTTACACCTGTACATTTGAACCTGCGAAGGATCTTTATGCTTCAGTTGATGCTTTTTGATATAACTTTTGTATATAGTTTTGTAATTGCAGTCATTACACCTGTACGTTTGAACCTGCGAAGGATCATTGTGTTTCAGTTGGTGTTTTTTCATTTCACCTTTGTATTTAGTTTCGAAATCACAGTCCTTGCACCCGTACATTTGAACCTGAGAAGGATCTTTATGTTTCAGTTGGTGTTGTTTCATAGCACCCTTGTATTTAGTATCATAATCGCAGTCGCTACACTTGTACATTTGAACCTGCGAAGGATCTTTATGCTTCAGTTGATGCTGTTTCATATAACTCTTGTATATAGTTTCGTAATCACAGTCATTACACCTGTACGTTTGAACCAGCGAAGGATCTTCGTGTTGCAGTTGGTGATCTTTCATCTCAGCCTTGTATTTAGTTTCGTAATCGCAGTCGTTACACTTGAACATTTGACGCTGCGAAGAATCTCTATGTTTCAGTTGGTGTTGTTTCATATTACCCTTGTATTTAGTTTCGTAATCACAGTCGTTACACCCGTACAATTGAACCTGAGAAGGATCTTTATGTTTCAGTTGGTGCCGTTTGATAAAATTCTTGTATATAGTTTCATAATCGCAGTCGTTACACCTGTACATTTGAACCTGTGAAGGATCTTTATGTATCAACTGATGTCTGGTAAAGTTTCTCTTAGTCTTTGATTGGTATGTGCAACCATCACATTTATATGTGGGCAGTTGTGAAGTGTCCTTATTGGGTAACAGGCTGTGTTTGGTTTTATAGTCACACTCTACATCATTGTTTGAGTTTTTGTGTTTTATATAATGACTACTAAAACTGACCTTCCGCTTTGTTTTGAAATCACAAAAGTCACACTTGTACAATTGTCCTCCAGGAACAGGATATTTATTCCTCAACCGGTGTTTCTGAAAAAATTTTTTATTTTCAGTTTCATACTCACACGATTCACATTTATATGCTTCCGAATCGTTCTGGTGTCTCGTACGGTGTGCTATAAAACGACTCTCGCTTTTGGTTTTGTAAATACATTTATTACATTTGTAAAATCCTTTGTGGTCCTGCTGGACCTTCGTATTACATTGGTGTGTCGATTTATTCTCATGTTTATATCCATCCTCTTCTGCATCTCTAAGGACCCTCTTCTCGAATGATTCACTATCCGAGCTCTGCAGTAGCGAGTCGCTGAAAAAATTACATATACAAGGTATTTTCCAAAATGAGGTGTTCAATCAAAGGGGTTTATAAGTTATTCCAAATGCAGTTATGCAAGTTTCTGAACTCGACAAGACAGTATTTCAGTTTTATTATCATATTAATCAAATACTTGACGACAGTTAGTAATATTTTTATTGAAGATATGTTAAAAATAATTAATTATGCGAAAACCGTTAGGAATACAAGAAATGTATGAAAGAGATGCAGAATTAAATAAGATCTGGAGTTATCCGCTTACCTTTTAAATTATTGTTAAAATAGTCTTCTCTTACCTGCTTTCCTCATCTTCCGATTTTATGTCGATACTTTCAGCTTTGATAGACATTTCCATATCGTTGATATCGAATTCTTTGTCCTCGTTTTCAGTCTTAACGAATAATTCAGATGGTGACATATCTATCTGGCTTTCAGTTGCTGCGTTATAAAAAATACCTTTAATTTCTTCCTGTACTTCCAAGCAATTTTTTAGGAAACTGTTGTGGGTGCACACAGAATCAAAGCATTCCTTACACACAACGGGATCTTTGATGATATTTATATTCTGCAAAGTNTCTATCTGGCTTTCAGTTGCTGCGTTATAAAAAATACCTTTAATTTCTTCCTGTACTTCCAAGCAATTTTTTAGGAAACTGTTGTGGGTGCACACAGAATCAAAGCATTCCTTACACACAACGGGATCTTTGATGATATTTATATTCTGCAAAGTGGTTTCATTAAATTGAGAAAAACATGACTACTTAATATCATTGATACCAATTCAGGAGCCAATTTCTCGATAGCTTCAAGTTCCTCTTCACAAATGCACCTAAATTCACTTTCTACTGGCTCCATACACAATCGACATATTTTCTGACTGTCTGAAATGTCCATTGACTCGCTTGTCTTTTCCTTCGTATACACATCTCTTATATCGAGCTGTAACATTTTTTCACAATCCACATATGGAATAATTGTGTAATCGGTCATCAGACAAGTTGACTTAAATTCGAATGCTGCATTTAACTCTCTCCTGCAGACGTTACATACAACCTCTTTGCCTTCGCTGTCAAATTTCTGAAATATGTGCAACTTTAACCAAAGAGATAGAAAATAACTTTGACAGAAAATAGCAATTATTGGTAAGTCGTTGTAATGTGTTGAGTTGTATATATATATATATA